TCTCTCTCTCTCTCTCTCTCTCTCTCTCTCTCTCTCTCTCTCTCTCTGTCCATATTTGGTTCATAATAGGATAAAAAGAAAAGAAAACCATATCTAACAGAAAAAACAAGTTTTAACAATTATTGTTAGTATTGTTGTCATTTCGACACATGGAGCATTAAGGAGTGAAGCAGCATCTGATGCAGACTGAACAAAAGCTGAACATTATAAGCTTCACAACAATTGTATTTTCTACTGTATTCAATTGCACTTTCATGCAGATGTTCCTGTATTTGCATCCACACAAAAAAAATGCAAAACAAACAAACAAATACCCTCCTCCAGTTCAATGATACTAATGGTCACCAGATCCAGTGTAATCTCTGTTTTGTACTGGATCGGTGTGAGTGACCTCTTGAGCCAGCAACACCTAACTTGTGCACACAAACAAATGATAAAAAAAAGAACTCCTTCTCTACCCACAAAGTGTAAACATGATAAATACATGCCAGCAACAGAGGGAAGCACTGTGATGTCATCATTTAGCTGGAGGACAGGTTGTATTACACTTTACTTATAGCCTCACTATAACTGTCCAGACTTGTCCGTCAGACCCGTCTCATTGTTATCAAGGTGGGAGGACCACGCTGCCCCTGTGTGTGGGTTGGGATCTACTCTGCATTAGCTATTATTGTATAACCAGTCATTATGCAATTATAATATTGTATAACCCCTTTCGTTTTTCTGTGTTCCTCTAGTGTGTGTGCCCCCACTACCTGCATTAGGTTGTGATGACCCACACTACTTCCAAATGTATCTGTGACCCTCCCCAATCCTGACTCCTAACCTCTAATCCCTGACCTTTGACCCCCACTATGGGCAGTGTTGGCAGTGGGGTGGCAGGAGAGCAGGAGTTTGCCATGAAGTCTGTGGGTACGAGGACCACCCTGCCAAGAGCCCCTCCTCTCTCTCGCCGTTGCCCTGCCGACCGCAGCTGCAGCGCAGAGCGACTGCCCCGTCCACCGGCGACTATATCTGACGGGACGGCTTCTAGTGATGAACGAGGGAGTGTTAGTGTTGGGACTGGGACCTGTACCGGGACTGACCGGCCCACCGAAACAGCCTCCTCCACCAACACTGAGTGTACCATGGCGGCCCCGTCCAACAACAACCAGTTGGAGTGTGGCAACGGAGCAGGCAGGCGGGAGAGGGAGTGGGAGAGGGAAAGGGAGAGGCAGCGTGAGAGGGGGAGAGACAGGGACCGGGACCGAGACTGGGACAGAGAGCGGTTAGACAGGGAGCGCGAGAGGGAGAGGAACCGGGAGAGGGAGCGGGATCGAGTGGAGAGGGAGAGGCTGGAGCGAGAGAGGGAGCGGGAGAGGGAAAGAGCCAGGGAGAGGGAAAGGGAGAGGATTGAGAGGGAGAAGATAGAGAGGGAGAGGGAGCGAGAGAGGGAGAGGGAGAGGGAGAGGGAAAGAGAGAGGCTGGAGAACGAGAGGTTGGAGAGAGAGAGAGAAATGCAGGCCGCAGGGTTAGACGTTTGTGGGAACCTTGTGGGACGAGGAGCAAACGAGAAGAGCAGCGTTGGCATGAGCCACCACCAACACCAGCACAGAGAGATGGCAGCCGCCAGAGCTGACAGTGAGAGCAAACCAGGCGGCCATAACCCTCCGAACCACAACCCGCCCAAGATCCTGCCAGTGTCGGGAAAACTGGAGCAGGTACTTCAAGATTTAGGACAGTGGCTCCCAAACCTGGGGGTCAGCACCGTCGAAGCGGTTGTAAAATGAATGGAAGGGGTCATGAGATGATTAGGAAATAGTGAAAAACAAAATTCTGCCACACAAAATGATCTTTATATTTCCGACTTTTATTTAATCCTTGCTTTAATCCAAATGGGATTTTCATAATCAACGTGAATCATGTTGGAATCGTCCAAAATTACAGTATTTGGGCTAAATTCCCTCCTTTCCCACAACAGTGTGTCCTGGCTGAGCTGCGGTGGCGGGCTACTAACACAAAGGGGAAAGTTTCACTTAAACGACTGTAACTCTGGCCACTTTATTTGGTCATATGAGACTGCTGAAGCGAGAACTGTGAACCTTCCCAAATCTGTCACGTTATAAAGGGATCGTATCAAGGCCAGTATATATGGGAGCAATTATTTTAGCCACCAAAAAACGCTTCATGGACGTATGAGTATTGTACTAAGGTAGACTTGAAAACAAACCCTTTAAAAACTTGATTCATGCCATCCGGCATAAACCTGTTTGTAAGGATTGAAGTGCATCAGAAAATAAACCAAATGCATCTCAAGCAGTCTTACATATATCATAATATTTATAATTCATCCCCCATCTTGTGTTATTGTGCTTAACACATCTCAATGCTGAATTTTATCATTGAAACTTTCACTATGGTGTACTTTTCTCTCTTATTTCTCTGTCTCTCTTCCTTCCTCCTTCTCTGTCGCAGGCGATGCAGAACAACTCAGGCCTTGTTCGTCCCTCTGCCTTCAAGCCGGTGGTTCCCAAGAGCTTCCACTCCATGCAGAACCTGGTGGGCCAGGCAGGAGGGGCTGGGAGCGAGGGCAAGACTGAGGCAAGGAGTGAAGGGTTCAGTGAGAGCAGAGGAGGCAGGAGAGGCAGGGATGGAGCAGGAGCAGAATCAGGAGAGGTCCCAGAGGCCCTGCTCCTGGACCAGGACAGCCCAGTGAGGGTCAGCAGAACTGAGGGCGGGGGAAACGGTATTGAAGTGGTTCAGGGAGGATTGTCTGACTCAGGGAGGAACTCCCTGACCAGCCTGCCCACCTATACGGGCTCGGGGTCCGGTTGTGGGCCCCCAGCAGTGCTGGGGCCTCTCAGTGCTTCCACCAGCCACATCAACAGGTTGGGCATGGTTGGGGCAGCTGCAGGCCTCGACAAGCTTGAAAAGCCTGGCTACCAGGTACGGCCATCATCCATATACTCGCTCAGGCTGCTGCTTAACACGCCCTGCTACCATCATCTCTAATGTGTCGTGATGTGGTCCTCTCCTGCAGAACGGGCTCAGCGCCTCAGACAGCGGCCGGTCCTCCTCGGGGAAGAGCTCCTCGTCCTATCAGAGGCTGAGCCACCTGAGTGACGCCCCAGCACCTCTACGCCCCTCCCCCTCGTCCGATGACATCATCCAGGACCTCGAGGACCGCTTGTGGGAGAAAGAGCAAGAGGTCAGAGGTCACTCAGACGTGTCTGACGTGCCGCTGCTTTGCACTTATTGGGCTCTCCGTTAAAAAGAAGGACGATACTTTTGAGCATTTGTAGGATCAGTTCTGATCTTAAGCAGTTTGTTTGATAGGCCCACATTTTGTCATCCAAGTTGGACTTCTTGTACTTTCACTATTCAACTGGCTGTTCTGTGTCCTTCTTTTCTACCAGGTGCAGCATATGCGCAGAAACCTGGACCAAAGTGAGGCAGCAATCATTCAGGTGTTTGAGGAGAAGCAACGTGTCTGGGAGCGACAGATGGACGAGCTGAGACAGAACTACGCTTCGCGTCTGCAGCAGGTGAACTCGATACATATTTTGATCTTTAGGAAGTGACCGCACTGTATTTTTACTTTGCTCGCATCTTGAGTCCAAACGCAGTCGTGGAATTTCTACAAAGGGTTTAATGGCATATTTTGGAGTTGGGATGCGTGTACATGCAGCATCATCTGAAAGGCATTTAAATCAAATCTGTCCCTGACATACAACACTTAATGGGTCATGGCAGGAACTGTACATATATGTATGTCCCACATATAGATGGAGACTGTCAAATCTCACAACGTATATATGTACATTTTGTCTCTAGGTTACCCGTCGCGCTCAGCGCTCCCAGACGGCCCTGCAGGCCCAGATAGGCCGTCTGTCCCAGGACAAGAGGAGGCTCCAGGAGGAGATGGCGGCCCTGTTGGCCCAGAGAGAGGACCTGGAGAGAAAGTGTCTGGATTACAGGAAGGAGCAGGCTGACATCTTGCCTCGTCTGGAGGAAACCAAGTGGGAGGTGAGATATGAGAATATGACTTGGTGCGCTTGACTAGCTCAGTAAAATGTTATCAGGGTTCCATCATGGTAGACTGAGCAGTGGAGTATGAGGGTGTGTGTGAAGCTGAATACATCTGTGTGTAAAAGCATACATGCAATGGGAAAGGAAGCATGTTTACCACAAACACGAAGCACTGCTAAATACAAAAAAAATGATACTGCTCACCCATTCACTCGTTCTTTATGTGGCAGGTGTGTCAGAAGGCGGGAGAGATCTCCTTGCTGAAGCAGCAGTTGAGGGAGAGTCAGGCGGAAGTGACCCAGCGAGCTGGAGAGATGGTGGCCCTGAGAGGCCAGCTGAAGGAGCTCAATGCCCAGCTGAGGGAGCGGGAGGAGACCATGCTGGGCCTGAAGGACTCCTACAGCACCAAGAGTGTGGAGCTGGAGAAGTGTGAGGGAGAGCTGAGGAGGACTCTGTCAGAGGTGGGTTTTCAATTACATGTTAATTAATACTCATCGGGGGGATTTCAAAATAACAGAAAAAATGCAAACAGGCGAATCATTTACACAAGTTTACAATACATTAAAACAGTTTCCAAACGTAATGAAATTTACTATTTTACTACAACATACATATATCTGCTTTTATCACCAGTCAGCCAAAATTGAAGGTAATAGGTGCCGTCTCTAATAATAGAAATAATAACAAAACAACATTTAAGCCCAATAGTTTGTCACAGTATGATCGGATTCATGTCATCAGTGTAGAATTGTATATATTTATATGTCATATGTCACCCCAAAAAGAGCATGAACCTTATCTCCGGCTGTAGGATGTGAGGCTCACGTTATTCTAGGCCTATGATGAAGAGCAGTCAAAATAGAGTTTATGACAAGTAAGGCAAAACAAATTGGGCAACATTACATATTACAGCTGCAGCATTTTCTTTCCTTTGTGCTGTATGACCTCATGAGCGGCTCCCACACATACATGGTGTTCATTCCATTACATGAAATAGTAGTTTATAACCAATATTCTTCTCTTTTCAAGTACAATTTATGCATTCATCACAAGCTCTTATCTAGGGCAACTCATAAGTGCCATGGACACCCAACAGTAATCAAAAACGTTATGGACTCAAGTTTGTAAGCAAGTTTAGATGTTGAGATTTTTATAAAAAAATGTCAGACAACAGCTTAAATATGCTCATTGCCTTGGTTAGGAGGATCGCTTTCCACGATCCACAAAGCCCACTACTGTTTCTGTCTGTACTATAGTCTCTCCCCTGATTCAACTGTCACTGCACAGTCCCATTCTGGGTGTGCCTAAAGTATATGAGCATACATGTGTATGATTGCATTCATGCATGTACAACAAACACAGCTGGATGTGTATTTGTTTTAACGGCCGTCTTAAGTTCTTTTTACATATTATCCGTATTTATGTACACAAAATATGCTTATTGTGTTTTTATGTCTTGTTTTGTTTTTGTTCTAATGTAGGAGACACCCTTCAATACATTGAAATGAATGTAAAACTGAATGATATTTTCATGTGATACATATTTTCCTTTCTCCAGGTGTCCATCCTTAGAGAGAAGCTGGGTGTATTCGAGGCAGAGGTGCTTGGTTTAAAGCGGGCTCTGAATGAAGTGAGCAGGGGAGTAGAAGTTGTTGTGAGCCCTAACTTAGCTGCGGCAGGTCTGTTGCCACCATGGGGACTTGTCCACTGCCCACGAAACCCCACTGAGCCCTCACTCAACTCTCTCACCCCCACATCTGACACCCTGCTGAGTCTTCAGAGTGATGAAGCCAAAGCCCAAAGGCAGGAAGCTCAGAGGCAGCAACGCGAAGAAGCTCAATGGCGTGACGCGCAGCAGCGGCAGGATGCCCACATGCATCAGGACATCCGAATGCGGCAGGATGCACAAATCCGACCGGACGGCCAAATGCGCCAAGAGGCCCAGCTTCGTCAGGAGGCTCATCTCCGCCACGAAGCCCAAATGCGCCAAGAGGTGCAGCTCCGTCAAGAGGCCCAGCTCTGCCACGAGGCCCAAATGCGCCAAGAGGCTCAGCTCCGTCACGAGGCCCAACTCTGTCAGGAGGTGCAACTGCGTCAGGACGGCCACCAGCCACAGCGGGGCCAGGAGGGTCACTGGGACGAGGGAGGGGAGCTGCGGAGGCAACTCGAGCAGCTGCAGGCCGCGTTGCGCCTGGAGCGGCAGCAACGGGAGCGTCAGGCCCTCAACTTCGACCAGGAGCGACACACCTGGCAGGACGAGAAGGAGCGGGTTTTGAAATACCAGGCGCAGCTGCAGCTCAGCTATGTGGAGACGCTGCAGAAGAACCAGGCTTTGGAAAAAAGGCTGAGCCAGCTGGGAGCCAAACCGAACACAACGTCCACCACCACCACTATCACCACTACCACCACCACCTCCCCCACCTCCTCCAATTCTCCGCCTCCACCACCGGGCCTCTCACCGCTGTCTGCTCAGCCCCCACCCTCTCTCCCTAGCCCCATCGCCCTCACCATCTCCCCTCCTTGTGAAGACCAGAAGGGCCCTCCGTCGCTCCACCAGCTTGCCAATCCCTGGGCAGGACCCTCACGCCTGGAGAGGATAGAGTCCACTGAGATATAGAGACGGCTCCGCGACGTATTGTCCAGTTCGATACAAGACCTCTCACACAGAACCACTTCAGCATACAGTTGAAAACATTTCAGTCTACAATAGAATAAATCAGTACAGTCTGACATACTTTTCAAAGCAACTAAAGACACTGAACAGCAACAACAGCGACTGCATAATCCAACATTGTCAGTAACAAGCAGTTGAACTTCGTTCAATCTATCAAGGATTTTTCAACCTCCTAAGCAGCCTTTCTCTCACAAGTTGCACACTACTACATCCTACCTAATCAGTGTTCATGAGAAGTGTGCCACACTGATGGATGGCAGAAAACTAAATGTTAAATGACAATGTTTAGACGACAGCACTAACACAGGGGGTCATTTCATGCCCATGCTAGAAAAGGACCAAGACAATCAGGGATATTGTCAGAAATTATCAACCGGAACATCATGCGGTATTTATTCATTGTAAGTCTGTGTCACTGGTAATGTAAAAGTAGAAATAGTGGTCAGAGTGTGTGATGTTAACTTGCATTTTTGGCCAGAGAGCGCCTTACTCCATTTCTTTCCAGCATGTATACGAGAAAAATGCCGATGCTGGGAACAGATGAAAAAAAAAAGAAAAAAAGAATCAGGAGTGCTATTATCATTTTCAGTGCTTTAATTACAATATCAGCAAACCAGTTAGACAAAGGCATTACACATGGCTGGACTATTTCATTTAAATACCAGCAGATATCGACGTCGAAGTTCACACGGACGGATTCCTGATTCAGTTTTCAAGTCATTTCATGCACATGGTCCAACATGCATGACTCATTTAAATGCATCATCAAGACCAACAGAGTTTATATTTTCTACAAACTGAATGAAATAGATATGTTTAGTAGATAATCAACCCCAAACTGAATATAGAATATGTTTATCGATGTGGGACAACCTGGTTTGCCTTCACTGCGGATCGTCTGCGGTGACTAAAAACAAACACTAGAGGTCATCAGAGGGCTTTCGCAGCGCTCTCAGCTCAAATTTCTTCTCGTTGAACTGCAAGGAGGATGTGAATGGAAGCACACAATTTGAATTTGGTTATTATGACAATTGTGTCGTTCACTTTGAGCATTTACAGCCAAGAGATCTGAGAAGTCAGTCGGTATCCCCAAAGTTTAAATTAAATTTTTAGAATGTATGATATACTAGAAAGAAATAATTATAAAAGTTATAGATTGTAAATGTATGTGTGTTTGTGTGTGTGTGTGTGTGTGTGTGTGTGTGTGTGGGAGAGCGGGTGTGTGCATGTGTGTCTACATATGAAAAGCTTCAGCTTATGAGATTGAGGATAGAGGGACTATAGTGGCAATACAGCAAAGGAAGATATATTGAGAGCAAAGGGATTTTGTTTTTGTTTGGCGGGGGGGGGGGGGCAGTAAAGTACAGTAAGATGTACATGAAAGCTTGGTACAAGGGCAGGGAGACTGTATAACCTGGAAACTCTACTTTCTTCTGTATCGCTCATTTAGACAAAGCAGGGGAGAAGGAAGTAAAAAAAAAAAAGAATCTGAAAAATGGAAAGTCTGTCTTTCTAAGGGAGCATTCAGCTAACTGCACTATGTAGTGTCCTACACACGAGTTATGATGTACAGTAGACTCATGTGAATATCATGGCTTTTATATGTGTTGTTTACGCCAGCATACAAAGATGTTTCTCAAGAATATTAACTTATCTCTAAGGTATTACATAGTATTATCATCTTTATTACTGTTATTATATTATGGTGAACTGACAGAGAAAATATGTGCCATTTGAGCTTTCTTTTATGTGTTTTTTTTTTTGTTTTTTGTTTTTTTTAACTGTAGATAGCCTAACGGCCTACCATGATGGTGCAAACATAGCAACCCTGTCCAAAAATGATGTTCCTTTTGATGTAGGTGATAAATGTAGTTATAGTATTGCATTGTTTAGAGAACAAAATGCTACCAATTTTATACATGTTTCAGATTTATTGTTTGCATTTATGTTACTAGTACTGTTCTGGCTTGATTAAAACCACCCCTTTGTTCAAATTCAGCAGAACTAATAAAGATATGTGAATAATTCAGCACTTCTTGTCATTGAGAGAATCCATTGTCCTATGGTTAAGTCTTTTAGATTTGATTCTGGCAATCAGCTTTGAAACAATTTACCAGATGAAATATTTGGATTATTATAGGCACATATCTTTAATCACAGTGTTTCTCAAACACGGGGTCGGGACTTCCTCGGGGAATAATTCTCAGGGGTCAATCAACAAAATGAAAGAAGAAAAAAACATATTTCTGCTACGCAAAGTTGGGCTTATCTTTTCAGACTTTTGTGAAATCACATTTTCTTTTTAATTATGGCAATTTTACTCCATGAGACCTGTAAAATATCATGTACTTAAAAGTACCAATACTAAACTCCTGCATAGAAAATAGTAAAAGTACAGAAGCACTATCAGCAAAACAAGTATCAAAAGTAGATTATTCAGAATAAATTAGTGCATTATGTTATTCAATTATCAGCATTGCTGCATTAACATCTGAGCAGCATTTTAATGTAGGAATAGCGGGCTTAGGTAGAGATAATTTTAACTACTTTACATGCTGTTGCGTATAGTTTAATCTGTAGCAATGCGTCTTAAAATCTTAAACTGACACATACGTAACAACAAAGAACTATAGCCGTCACACAGTGGAGTACAAGCACACTATTTCCTTCTGAAATGTAGCAAAGTAGAAGTATGTAGTAGCATAATATCGAAGTGATCAAGTAAAAGTACCTCAAAGCAGATGTAGTATGTGCACTACTTGATTAAATGTACTTTTCACCATTGGACCTGTCTGTATAAGATCTTTAAACATATGCAACCTGTGAGGAGGAGTTGTAAGTAGACAGAGCATTGTCTTATGGGGTCACAAACTAAAAAGGTTGTGAACCATTGTTGACCACTGTCTTCTGGCTGATGGAGATACTGCACTCATTTACAAAGGAAAGAAGAAGATAGACAAAATGCATTTGTATTGGGGATTTCTAAAATGTAATTAGAGATGACCAAATGAACGTTATTACATGTTGAAAGGACTGAGCTTAGGTAAGGAACACATACATGTCAGAGGATAGGCAATTAAATGAAGCTTATTCTTACTATATACCTGTTGCATCCCTTGATTCATTTCGCATTTTTAAATTGGAAGCGTGTCCCTTCTGTGTTTCCGTAGTTGAACTGGCTATGTTAGCTAGTAGCTGTTAGCTACCTTCTAAAATTGGTCAGAGGAGTCAAATTAAGAGTGAAAACAGCTGAGTTTGTCTTCGACCAAGCAACGTAAGCTTTGTATGCTTTAGTTTACCAAGCTAATGTTAATACTGTCAGTGTCAGAATTAGCAATGTTAGCCGATATCATATAGCTAGCTACGTTTAGCGTATTTGAACGTGCGTTAACTAGTTACATGTATTCCAAAACTAGCTAAGCTATGAACAATGCTGCACATTAGCAGCAAAAGAAATTCCATCACAAGTTCATGTGTAACGTTATTCAGGTTGGTTATTTTGTCTGAGCAACAGTTCAAAACCCATAGATGTACACTTAACTATCATATATTATTAAGAACAGCAATAAATCCTCTGCTTTAAATAGCTGGAGCTATCAACTGCATTGCAGATTAATCAAGATGAATCTATTATTATGTTCTGTGTTGAGTTGCCTTGAATTTACCTATTTCATTGAATTGTAAATAATAATCCGGATGGCAAACGTAAGTGGAAGTCACTATCTTCCTTTTCTATCATTTAACACAATACTGCATGAGTTTACCTCGTTGAACTCACTGTTGAAGACTGTTGATGAGTCAGTCATTCTGTGACGGTCGCTATGACATGAGGTCAAAGGTCTCGTATAGGTGTAAAAACACAAACAATGTGATTAGTTTCTAATAATGCTGGACGGCCAATATGAGTGTTAAGGAGTTGTTTTCACTGAATGTCTCATTTTGCCTTGACCTATAAACTATATGTGTAGCTCTGCAATCAATTTCTGTCTTCGCAGGTTGGAGAATATGGTTTTGAATCTGTGTCTGCCAGCCTTTCATACAACAGTTCAATGCAACAAGGTGCGACACATTTCATGGACCTATCACGTCACTGTACCTTCCCGAGGCTGCTTTTTTATTATCTAACACGCACAATGCTGTGAGTTTTATTCACTCTGGTGCACAAACTGCTGCTACACCTACGTGACATGTAAGTAGTGTTAGCAGCAGTTAGTTGGCACATAATAAAGCTACAAACCCTATTCTGTACACTCTTGTTGTGTCTTATGAGAGCACCATTCACCTTAAGAATAGGTCCGATATGTGCTGCGACGAAAAAGGAAGAATCAACGTAGATGAACATAAAATAACTAAGGATGGAGGTGGAGGTCGTGCTGTAGATGTGAAGATAGAGAAGCACAGGGACAAAGTGGTGCGTGGGAGACTGAATCACAGCTGACCTTGCTATGTTCTTTTTATTTGTATTTTGTTATCAGATCATCACAGCATTTTCTCCCCACTGGAGATGGAAGATGTTCAATTATATTTTTAAATCAAACCTCAACTTTTTTCCATTTTCAATGAGACGAGCCCCTAAAACTTATATTTTTTGTGTAGTATTTGTGTAAAATCAACACTTTGTAGTATACCAATTAGATTGGACAGACACATGAGGTTTGCTATGTATTACAACAGAAAAATGAAATGTATTTTTCAACTGCAGCTGTGTGCAGATGGCTATGATGTCACAAACCTTGTGTCAGCTGACCCTGCTATCCGGAGGCGTGGCTTCAAGCTGGAGTACTTCCTACGGCCCCCTGTACAGGTAAGGCGACGCTGTCGTACTTGAGTAGAGGTTTACTTTCTTGCTTGAGTTGAGAAGATTGCCAAGCAAAGCTCATGACTATCATTATTCACTGAGGGGGCGACACACATTTTGTCCTAAAAATGTAACTTAATGTCATTGCAGTCTTGAAAATATCACCTTATATTTAAGTAACAAGCCAAAGGTGTGAGCACTCTTTAGGCTGAATGCCGAAATCTCTTTTAATTATATCCATACTAAATTGCTTAGCATCTTAATATTGGCAAAAAGTGGGTAGGATCTCTGGCAACACTAGTAATACATTAATCTCTATAGTTAATCATTCCTTTATTCCTCTCAGGTGACGCTGAAGTTTGGCTTCCAGGTGGAGCTGTGCAGGGTGGATGTGGAGCTGTGGACCTGGGGTATGGACCGAGGACAGGTTTGCAAGAGACTGGAGATCAGCACCAGCTCTGATACATTACCCACCCCGAATTTTGACCAAGGCCACGAACGTGTTCATCAAAAGAAACAAATGCAGGTAAAGAACCAGAAACAGAGTAGAGAAAAACCACAAGAGCATGCAGTTAAATATGGCCAGAGTAGTGGCAACCAGTGGAGACTTCAGGCTCAACAGTGGGGCGAAGAGGCACTAGATGAGCCTCAACAAAGAGGCCATGCGTTCAAATCAAACACTGAGCCCAGTAATCCTGAACCTGGACTGGACTTCAAACTGATAGGTCGTTGCGAACTCAGGGAGGAAACCCAAGTCTGTTTCACGCGTTCAAACTTCAGACCCCGGCCCCCGTTCCTCTCCCCTCTACCGCCGCAACCCGCCAACTGTCGGCAAGAGGAGCTGTGGAGTCGGGGTATGCTTTCGTTAGGCGCAGTGACGCAACTTCGCGTCACTTTGCCATTCGGCGGTGCAGCATCTGCTCTTGGGCTCAAGGCTTTGGCCGTGTGGGGACAACCTGCTCGCTGCTGCCCGGCAGAAGAAGTGGAGAGGATTAAAAGAGTCCAGGAGGCCAGCGAAAGACGCCTCCCAAGACCGGTGTTTTTTGACCCTTCTGTCAGCAGGATAAAACCACCGCTGCAAGCAGCTACATCCCCAAGGTATGCTTGATGAAGCAGTCTTTAAAAAATATCACATTTCAGTTTAATCTGCATCTTGAGAGATAGAGTAGATAAAATACAGCTCATAATAACAGTAAAGGATATTCATTTTCTTGCACTGTTGATAATTATCTGTTGGCTTTTTGTCTGTCTCCAGCAATCCTTCCGTCCCAGAAGAGTTCCTCGACCAGATAACCCAGGAGGTGATGCTGCTGCCCATGCTGCTGCCCAGTGGTGTGTCAGTGGACAGCACCACACTGGAGGAGCACCAGAGGAGGGAAGCCACCTGGGGGCGACCCCCGAACGATCCCTTCACTGGCGTCCCGTTCACTTCCACCTCCCAGCCTCTTCCTAATCCCCAGCTGAAAAGCCGCATGGACCACTTCATACTGCAGAAGGGGATGATGAGGAGGGACGGGATGTTGGGGAGACAAGGAGACGGAGAGAATCCACAGGCCTCAAGACTTGTAGCCTCCAAGGCAGACGGACAGTCCCAGTACTCTCCCTGTCTCCGTGAGAGCTCAATAGACAACACTGCTAGTCAGTATAATGCTGGCACTAGAAACACAAACAGGACGTTATCATCAGATAATGGGAGTCACACATTTAACTCTCAGCCTCTTACTATAGATAGTAAATCAGAGTTGGGGAGAAGAAAGAAACAAGACCTAAGTGGAGTTTACAACGAATCATCAGAAGATTTGACAGCCGAGAAGCAACTACTACCTCCAACAAAAAGACCAAGAAATGATGCGGTGTCAGGTTAGTGTAACTTGTTCTGTAAGATTTAAGATCCTAAAACATTTTCTCTCCTGCTGACCCGTCCGTTGTGTCGACGTTTACTCCTTCACCATACTGCTTCAGTCCCCAGCTGCAGCTCTCATGAGCAGCGTTTGTCAGCCAGTCTGGACGAGGCCCTCCTCTCCGCCCTGCAGGGCCGACCCTCCTTCACCTCAAACCTGTCTCAGCAGAGACGGGTCTGTCCTGACTCTGAACCACTGAACACCCCACAGCGATGTCCGACTGCAGGCACTCCAAGCATGCAACCAGGTAGGATTTAGAAAGGTCCCCTTTGGAACACTTTGACAAAACACACAATCCTCTGTAAATATGGAAGGTTGTATCTTGATCTTTCGTAAAAAGGTGGCCACTGTGGTCAAATTTATGACAGTGTAGGAGTTTTGAAATGTGTTTCTGATGTGTTACATCAATATAAATCCATGAACCGTTTGATTAATCCTCTCTCGCATTTGCTTGCCAGGTGAGAAGACGTGCTCGGCATGTTCCTGCTCGGTGTCCGTCTACTCCAAATCTGCATCGTCCATCTACCGCCTCACCTGCGGTCACTTGCTCTGCCGTTCCTGCGTGCGGAGGGAATCGCAACCACGAAACTCCATCACTACGTCGACATCCGATCACATCTTGTGTCCGGCCTGCCAAAGCCCGACCCCACGCAGTGATGTCATGCGTGTGCATCACTGACAGATGCCGTCAGAAAGGCAAACTCACGCCTTTGAAAATCCTGTGAAGAAATGAGGAGGATCGTATAGAAGGTGAAGTAAGGATTGTACTTCAGATGTGCCGCTTTGGGAAAAACATTAACAGCTGAAAGTAACAGATCCTGGTTCCAGTTTTTGTTGTTATTGTTTCCTTGGTTTGACGCTACCTCCGTCCCCCTCCTTGATATACAGTGCATCTTCACAGATGTGTGGTACTGTAATGATTGACAGGTGTTGGACCATCCTAAACAAATGACAAATTTGTCTGACCAACAATTTCCGTGACACTATCCCTCATTTCTAACTTTTTTTGGAATTCTTATTCACACGCGTTAAAAGTCCTTCCAGTCTTGCTGTGGATGTTATTTCTTTGGACCGGTGACATCACAAAATCAATGTTTTTTTATGTCCACAGCGGTAGAAAGAACATCAGCAAAGACCCTTACAAGAATCTTGTGTCAGAGAATGTTTAAAAAAAAAAAAAGAAATGTTCTCCTCTCTTCCACCTCGCTCCCTGTCTGTCTTTCATCGAGCATGTGCGGTTGCAGCCTCTGTAGAGACCCTGGATGAGTAGATGTGTTGAGGAGGCACAAAGAAAAGGTTGGGGGACAGAAGTAGCAAGAGGCCAGAAGAATGAAAGTGGATTTCGAGTGGACCCAAGGCTGTGTGGTCATTGTGAAGGAAGAATGCCGGGTCATGCTCGGCCGTCCGCTCTTCACTCTATTCACCACATGACATTCCCTACACTCGTGCGTATTGGTTGTTTGTCTACAGACAGTAAACGCAGGAAGAAAAAGAATTTCTAGGGAGTGATAATGTACACATTTTTCATGTTAATATTAAACTGTATATTCTTGCATGAATTCAGGCAGTGGCAAGGGTTTCTCAGGTAATATCGGAAAGCTGAATTTCTTTGAAGTTGGCGTAATTCCATGAACTTTCAGACGGACTGCGTCTACTTTCACTTGTTATTGCTTTTCCTATACGCAGCAGTGTTGAGAAATAAATGTGTGCACAATGTCCAAGTCCTCCTGTGTCCTTGCCCAACGTATTCATCCTCTTCCACTTCACTCTTCACCCCAATTACTTCTTATGAGTTTGATTTTGTGAGCACATAAGGGTTAAAACGGACCAAAGTCAGGGTGAAAAACAATAGTGTTTATTGGGCTTCGGAATCACAAACGGCACAAGTTGTGTGTTGCTTTCCCTGACAACATTAAGCTTAACCAAGGTCATGATCCTGTATCCGCTCAGTACGAGCAAAAGCTGGAATCAGTTGTTGTGCACGTAAAACAGAGACGTCAGCTTCACTGTTTGAGCTACAAGCGATGGATAAAAGCACATAATTCATACTAAATCACACTGTGTATTGGAGTCGTAACGGCTTATTTTTCTGCTTTGTACATGTCATCAGCCGTCAAACTTCAATTCCATTTCACTTGTTTATTACAGGAGTTGTTTCTATTTGTGAGAAGAACTGTTTTTAAATTCAACTTTTTATTTCACATTGTTCAGGAGTACAGTAATCTAAAGAGCGCCTTCTGTATTTATTGAAAAGCTTTTGGCTTGAACGCCTTGATAATTTTCAAAGAAATCCTCCACACATGCTGACACCTCAGGTTTGCCATTTAGCATTTGTTAATTAGCATCGGCAGGTAATAGGTGAGATACAACCGGAAGCATGCAACGACACACGGAACGGAATAAAAGGCTTTTCGTGTTTACTTGAAATGCTAATCTTGTTGTGCTCATCAATCGTTTTGAATATCATCAGGGAAATCATAATTGGTGTGACCCTGAGGTTGCCATGATGCTAGCAGTTTACCTTCATGGGACAAAAGTTAAAACTGATTGTCCTGCAGCAATGAACAGCGGGTAAGCTTGACAGCTGAATTGTGCGTGACCAACATGAAATGTACCTAATCAGTGCACTTATTGCATTAGATGCAATTAGTTGTACACAGGCCTAATTAGTTGTGCATGTTTTTGCCATTTCCAGTGTGCGCCCTCCTGCCATCTGCCGCGGAGGAGTTACTCCAAATAAGTGTTGTGCGGCCCTGAATACAGAAAAGGGCATCTTCTGCTGTCAGCGCCGCTTTCTTGTGTAGATTTGTTAGATGGCAGACATCTGATGCAGAGCCATGTCTGCTGCGACCTCTTGCGCGCACGCACGCGCGCAGGTGGCCTTCGGGTGCGCGCGTACACGTGGACGGCGGAACGACACTGACGTCAGATCGCAGTGGCAGTCGCTTTTGTGGGCTCGCGTCCATCTGCTTATAAGTGAGGAGTCTTCCGGGACATCAGTCACACATCCACCCAGGCGGAGGACATACCGGTGCGCGGCGCTCATCCAAAACCAGCAGCGATGCCTCACTCCTTGTTCCACCTGTGCGTCCTGGGACTCCTCGCCATCTCATCCGCCTGTTACATCCAGAACTGCCCCCGTGGAGGGAAACGAGCGCTCCCGGAGACTGGGATCAGACAGGTGAGGACCATTGGCGTTTCTGCCTCCTTCTGTGGTTTCATCCTTTTTGACTTTTTCTTTTTTTTTTCTGTGAAAATCTAGAATTATAAACTTCCTAAGCTGCCTTTGAGCCTATTCAAATGACATTTAACTAACTGGGTGAAATAAGGAAAATGCAAAGTATAAAATTAAGGAAATTGTAAGTATGAAATATGAGTAATTGTATGAGATCAGATTTGATATAATTGGTTTAATGGTTTGGGTTCAGATGTGTAAAGAACAACCCGGCCATTTCACTTTCTAAAAAGTGAAAACAAAAATCTGGTAAGGACCATAATTAAAGTCAGTTATGAAAGCAATAATGAAGGAGAACAGAAACACTTTAAATTTCAGGAGCATACAATTAGATGAACATATTTACTTTAAAGTATAGTGTGTGTATATAATACACTTCTGTATTGTAGCTCATAAAAGAAACCACAACTGTCGGTATGATGCATCTCAGGTGTTTTTATATTCTTTTTATTCTCATGACTTCTGATATAGAAGCAAGTTGATAAGAAATATACACAAACATATAGTGAAGTGAGGTAAATGTTTAACAGAAATCAAGCAACCATTTCCAGTATTTAAGATGCAGGTCCCACTTCCAATGCTGTTTGAATATGAGAGGGAAGAGTGAAAGTATTGTCCGTTAGAATGGAATAATAAAAGTGGCAATGTTCCAACAATAATTCATCTGATTTAATGCTTAAATTGATCCCATTCTCCTCCAGTGCATGTCGTGCGGCCCCGGAGACAGAGGCCACTGCTTCGGCCCCAGTATCTGCTGCGGGGAGGGCCTCGGCTGCCTGCTGGGCTCCCCGGAAACGGCTCACTGCGTGGAGGAGAACTACCTGCTCACCCCCTGCCATGCAGGAGGGAGACCCTGTGGATCTGAGGGAGGACGCTGCGCTGCTTCGGGACTCTGTTGTGACTCAGGTGCAATCCGGTTTCACGTTTGTCGCGTTCAGAGTTACTAAATCCGATATGGCATGAATTGTATTTTGGGCACAGCTTGAATAACGTCCTGTCCTCGTTCTCAGAGAGCTGTGCGGTGGACCCTGACTGCCTGGGGGAGATCGAGGCCTCAGATCCGGACCGCGGCTCCGCAGGGAGCTCTGCTGCAGAGTTGCTGCTGCGCCTCCTGCATGTGGCCACCAGAGGGCAGACTGAGCACTGATACTGTTCTCTGTGGAGGCTCCTCTGGCTCTCGGGGGCCCTGCAACAGAAGGAAGATCATCCCTATTCCACCTTGAGATTTGAACCTTGAACCAATTATATGCTAAGTCAAACTTTGTTGTGTCTTAACCCCTGCTGCCATGATATTTCACGGAAAGAGAACTACCTTTCACTTCAGTAATTGGCTATTTTCATCCACATCCTGATGGAGAGGGACACTGCTTCTAAAAAGTAGATGTCAAGTTTGTTCCAACCTTAGAAATGTATATACTTATGCACATAATGTAAACACAACTGTATTCTATATGAGAGGATAAAACACACCTCAGAGCTCCGTTTTAAATACGAATTATAGCAGAAAACACTGTAAATAAGTCAGAGATCAGAGATTACAGACATCCACGTAAAACAGCTGAATGTTGATGCTAAAGCAGTTCCTTCTTGTGTAGTAGACATATTACTGTATATTGAAAATAGGAGAAACAATACAGAATGTATCAATACCAAAAACAAAATCCTCCTGCTGTCTGTTTTCATTATTCCCACGCTCAAAATAACTACACCCTTAACCGACGATTCGCTGGGAGTAATTGTTTATTTTCTCGTGTGTGAAAGTAGTTGATAATTACCCAACATGGAGAGCTACTTCTGATAAGTCAGTAGATAATGTAACTTGACACCACACATATCTCGGCTGTGCATCAACACGTCCAGTTTGCGTAAATGAAACAAAGAGGATTCCAATAGTCACATTTCTTTGTGTGCGATGATTGAAAGCCGATGTCTCTGCCAGAACGACAGTTTGTAATGTGTTCACGATCCAGCTGGAACAGGATGCAGCACCTTCCACATTTTGACTTCAACCTGTTTTGACTAATTCAATACCTGTGCGGCATATCGGAAGAGCTTGATCTTCACTTTGTTTTTATTTCTGGTAAATCTGACTGATGCATCTTGTGATTCCTTTTACCGTCAAAAGCGTTCAATGCCCCTGGTCATTGTTGCATCCCTGATGCACATTGTAAATGAATATAGATTTACATGATACCACGGTGCATTCAAGTAGATAATGTGTCGACTAAATTAACTTAAAGTAGCAGCACGGTACATTATTTGAGGCCCTATATGATGATCAGTTTTTATAGCTGAGTTAATGTTAAGTTCTGCTTGAATTCCTATTCATGTACACCTTGAAATTATTCATTTGCAAAAAAAGCAGAGTAACTGATCAGACACTTTGAAACGTTGTTCGATAATCCAGCCAGTTAATCCAACCAAACCAGACCACAGAGGCTTCTTTTAAAGAAGAAAACAAATCCTCCAGATTTACAGGAGGGAAGAAAATAAAAGTCAGCGTGTACTATATCTGTCAAATTGGCTCAGACGGGAAGAAAACAAAGCAACTCTTGTGATTTGAAGACTTTAGAGCAGGTATTTGCTGTTGCATGCTCAAAAAAACGAAATGCAAACCAAACACCATACAGACTCTGCATCTGTTGTTTTTTTACTGCCACCACATGTACAACCAAGTAGTCAGTCTGTCAATATTGCTTTCAGAACAAATTCCCCCGGGCAACTGAGTTCACCATCCCCCATAATTATATTGTCTGGTTTGCACGCTCAGTCGAATGTGCAAACCGCACCTGAGCACACCGTGAACGTGAGAGTTGGTCTCCACCGCTGAGCTGCAGTTGACGGATCCATATCTCAACACGGATTGTCATCACAAACCTTTATTCATCAATACCTGCTATCTTTTGCTCCACAATGTTGCCAAATGTCTGATTGTCTTTGTCCTCGCCTGTTAATAATTTTTGGAGCGTTTCCCTCTGCAGCGAGGTCAGAGGTCAGGGCCATCTACAGAGGAAGAGTCTCGCTGACAGACCCTTGAGCTCTGGTCCTCTGTTTGGATTGTTCCACTGCTCAAAAGGTTTACAGAATTATTTATTCAACATTTGAAGATTCCAACACAGCCTTGCATCAAACACACATACTTATTTGTCACAAGTCTTTAAAAGTAGTATTCCTTTTTACTCTGACCTTCGACCTTTGATTTTAATTTTGTGTCCTATTGGTCTCAATTGTTTAAGCTATGTATCCTCTACCTTTCGTGACTCTGGGTGTGGCATTAGCCGAGCTTTCGTTGTGAATAAATCGATCATTAATAAAGATCATGTTAAAAGAGTTATGAAACCTGTCGGGGCTCGTCTGAGCACAGCAAACCTGAACCACACGTTCCTCCAGAGCCAGCAGTTTGAACAAAGAGTCGTGTTGAAAAGGAAAGTAACATTTGATTTTCACAAGGACTTCAAACTTGCCGTGTTTTAATGACATAATCATCGCTGTTTTGTGTTGAGCAACCTGTTCCATTGAGAAAGATGCTGGACGGTTTGAGAACATGCTGCCTCTGCCTGAGGTTGGGTGTTTGCACACCGGTGTGTGTGTGTGTGTGTGGGTAGATGTGTGTGTGTGTGTGTGTGTGTTCAGTGCCAGTATTTATAGAGCAAGGATAGACTCTGTTTCATAATTTTCTCCGTCATCATGGAGCTGAAAGTTGCGTTTGTGACTGTCTGCCTCTGTGCTTTGGCCATCACCTCAACTGAAGGTAAGAACATCATCATGACGATGTTAAAACCAAGACAACGCTTGTTTTGGGTCAGTTTTCATCAGAGGACAAGTGATGTACATGCTCTGAAATAAGTCAGATGTTTAGATTGATAGGGGGAAGTAGAGGTGTCTCTATGGAGCAAACATGAATAAAACTGTAAAGGGTTTTAAATAGTTATTGAGTTGCAGATTTCTGTTCACATTAACCTAGAAAGTTTAAATGTGCATGTGTTGCAGGAAGAGCAGACGATGTATTTTTGTTATGTTTTTTCATCCGTGCTGCTTTTTAGTTTTAAAACCATTTTTTTTTTAAATGATATTCGCTATTTTCTTTGAAAGCCAACCAAAGCCAAAGTCAAACCCAAGCCCCAAATATTATATTGTGCCCTTGAGAAGAAGGTAAACTCCTGAAATTGTTAAACGGTAATAAACTGTTTTTTTGTGGAGATTTAAGTTGACTGCGCGGCGCCGATAGCACAAAGAAACAATCCATATGTCTAGAACAAATCTAAGAATACATTTTTCAATTACCATATTCTATTATTCTATGTTATTTTCTTTCCAGCATTCATATAACATATCTTAATTCCACATTGCAGCTGGCATCCCAAAATGCTGCATCGCAACGAAACAGGACATCCCTGCTCGAATGCTGCGGAAGGTTCAAGGATGGAGCATGCAGCACAGCAGCGGCGCCTGTGACATCCCTGCACTGATGTGAGTGGTGCAGATCAACAATCAGCCACATGATAACCATTTTGTAACAACTTCTTTTTTTTTTTGGGGCTATCATATGAAACTTTTTCTCCGCTTGTGGCTCCACAGACTGCGAGTAAAGGACATGAGGAGGCCCGTGTGTGCTCATCCCAAAGTGAAGAGAGCCCTGATGATGCTGCAGTGGCGGATGAAACAGAACAAGCAGAAAGCAGCTTACTGAGATGTCGCGTTTTACTACAGTTGGTGTTTCAAGAGCTCGTGTCATACAGAAAGCCCTTATGGAGCCTTCTCTTTCTGGTTTATGATCATTCAGAGGTCCTTGTACTTTGATTTTTGAATTACTATTCGCTGTATTTCTACCCTGCAACATTTCAGAGGGAATTATTGTTTTACTCCATTACATTTATTGAACAGCTATAGTTACTTTTCAAAACAAAACATCTGATCAGTTCATAAAATCTGTTGCAGTGCTATGGATTACCCAACAGTACGTGAAGCGATTGAAATCAGCTCCACTTCGACTGCCACAACATTAAAGTACAGCTTACATGTTAACGATAATCGATAATTATCATCCACTAATAACTGAAAGGGGCTGTTCTGCATTATAGGTACTTTTTAACTTTGAGTGTATTTCCTTGCTAATACTTCTGTACTTTTACTTTTGTAAAGAATTTGGAGTTTTACTTATAATGGGATAGTTTTTATAGTTTGGTAAATAATGTGAATACTACGTCTACCTTTGCATCTAGACAATCATTGTATAAAAAAAATCAATCTCTGAGAAATGTGACTTAATAAATGTATTCTTTTTCTTTTGTGTTATTCATATTTGTGTCCCCGGATGTATCGTTGATGATTGTCAGGCAATAGTCAAACTATGAAGAGAGATATACGTTTTAGATACAATGCTACGCTTGGCAAAGTCATAACTTAGTCATAACAAGCATAAGAGCTTTCAAAAATCACAGATAGAGACTATATATATATGAGGAATCTATAGATACTGTAACTTAACCATGAAAATGTCACTCCAGATCAATTTAGAAATTCAAGTAAATTGGACTTAAACTGTCCTTGTTGTCCTCTGAGGATCAAAGCTCCCTCCCATGTCCTGACACAGAGACGAGCTGCTACACACAGAGAAGGCTGTAAAACCTTCACTGTGTGAGCTCATGCATGTGATTTATTTGGTTTCATTCCAAAGTGAGTGATCCTCTTAAACAAAACAGAGACACACCTGTGTAACTCCTGTTATTGCTACTGGGTGGCTTTTTAATAAACCCAGCAGTGAAACTCAACATTTAAACCGTCAAAAAAATGCTGATGGTGCGTTAAGTATTCTGCAGCACGTTCGATGCAGAAAACTGAGGGATTCATTTCGCTTAATTTGCGAACAAAAACAAGCAAAAGGTCTCAGTGTGCAACACATTTCAAGCTCGGCATCTGACGCAGCTGTAGTATTGTGCAGTCAGTAGTAAACCCGATTGTGAGTCCTGCTGCTGCCACACCTATACAGTGTATCTCTGTCATTTTGGGCTTATCAAAATCAGAAAGTGGACAATGTGAACGTCAGGTGAAATATATGTTCATGACATAAATTCAAAGTGAACCGTACTCCCCCGGTTCTCAATATTGAGCTGTTAATCCGGCAAAGACCCGAGTTCTCAGGCTTTTATGATTGTAAATGACTCATCCGTTTAAAACGGCAGAAAAGCCCCTCCAGCTAATTACAGTAATATCCCCTTTGACTCACTCAGGCTCTTAAACAAGCATACTATCTCACATGTGTCTACTCAAGTCAGAACAAGTTTCTCCAGTGCTGGTAGCCTTTAATGTGAAGACATTTCAGCCTCCTTCACCATTTACCAAAGAGCTCTCATCTATCACCAAACCAATACAAGATGAGTTTCCTTCATCGGAGTCCTCAAATCCAAACTGTTTGAAAGGCAATCGGCTGCACGACATCAGCAACAGTGTAAGATGATGGTGTCCCATGGGGCCCCATCAAAGCTTACCGTTAGACACAGACATAAACATGTGACAGCTGTGCGTGGTCGAACTCCTGCTGGCAGCATATCTGTTGTGGTAGAAGTCTCCAGGCTTTGATTTATCAGCACTCAAACTGTCAGCAAAGTTTGGCTCAGGCTCATCTCGCCTCCAAGGGGCAATATGTTGAAAAGCTGATCAGAGAAGGATCTTCTTTTTGTTTGTTGATAAAACAAGACAAAAAGAAAAATGTAATTATCGTTTATCATTTCAATGTGTGGTGGAAAACGAGGAGAGAAATAGATGGCTCTAAGTGAGCGAGAATATGACGGAGCAGACTTGCATGAACAATCAAACTGCTGAAAGTAAAGCTGATGGAGAAAGTCGTGCTCGAGGCCTCTCTGTCAAATGAAGACGTTTTCTTTTCCACTAGTCTGATGCAACAGCGCCGTCTAGTGGAGACACTGTCAGCAAATGGAGATTGAAGCCGTGCACTTTATAACAACACTTTATTCATGTTGACTTCTGACTCCTGTGGTGGAAAAACGATTCAATAGTACCGAGTGAGTCCTGTAATACTGAATACTGAAACAAGAAACATTGAGAGAAGAAGTTTGTCTTTAAAGTATTTATTCTCTGCGCAGACAAGGCCTCACCGTCATACTGACTGCAATACAGTCTGCAGAGGATGAGCCAAGAGTTCAGTTTGTCTCCTGCTCTTAATAAACATCTCAGCACACAGCAGTTGGGAACATCAGGTATTGACATTACAACAATTGATCAGCAGTTTCAAGCTCCCCATTGACCCCTCCAGTCATCCCCTTCCTCTTCTGAGCCTTGTCACACAGAGACATGTGTCTTTATTACCTTTGATTATCTCTGGGAATCTTCACACCTAAACATTCTCTGGTTAAACTGCAACCCCCATTTGGTTACTTCCCCTTATCAAAGCAAAGGCAGAGATAACCCATATGGTCCTGTTACCACTCAGTACACAATCATATGTCACATATAGTTTTGTTAGTGAGTAAGACACATAAACTAAATCACAGTAGAAATGTACTAGCATACTAAAACGTTCTATCACACTCCTCAGGTTTGCTGGTCCGTGTACGTTTTGAGATTTATTCCTATTTACCTGTGCCTTTGTTCATTATCTAGGTTATTGATACAGATGTATTTAATGCTGATTAATTCATCTGATATTTGATGTTTATGGTTAATTTGCAACCTAGTTATATACATCATGTGTTTACTTGTTATTTCTATGTCATGGAAGTGTGAGCATGTGTAGTTCATGAAGCAATAAATAATGACAATGGAACAATAAAGAGACGTTTGGTTCATTCTTATTAAACATTGTACATAATTGAACTACCTCACTCATTTATTTGTCACACTTAAATCCTGATTTGAATGGTTAAACAGAAGAGGTCAAAGGGCCAAGATGAGAACATTTTTTCCTAATCTCACAAGACAAGAGCAACAACCAGATGAATTAGTTCTCTTTTCTTCTTTGCTACCATGGTACCTGCCTCGTGACCCCTCAGATTGATCTCTGGAGCTGTAGGTGGATGCAGACCTTCAAATGTGTTACTATTTTGAAAATAGTCAACCTTAAGTTATCACTGATTGTGTTCATTTTAGTTCCACCTCGAAGACAGATTTTAGGTCAGCTTCTCGAATGCACACATAATTAGAACAAATTTATTTCAAAGAGAAAACCATTGTTAAAGATTGAAGTCTTATTATAGGGAAGGGGATCCCTATAGTTACTTGGCCAGAGGGGGATGCCCAAAAAAGCTGTCCACAGACCTTTTGCTGGACGCATCAGTTGCTGCAGACTGGTATGAACAAGAGGTGGGCTCATTGACACGAGTGTCACACTTTGGCAGCAACAGGACCAGGAAGCTGCAGAGAGGGAATTTGCTCTGCAGTGCCGAGAGATGTGAGTGTTCTGCTGGACAATGCTGTCAATAATCTGCCACAACTTTTTAAAGATGGACTCAAGTGCCTGATTGATGCTACAAGAAGACATTGCCAGCACTGATGTTTATCTCTTTCATCTACTTGTAAATAGATCAAATATAGAATGTGAAATGAACACATTGCATTGTGATAACATTCCTGAAATTGACTTGTACTGAGGATGGATTCAGTCCTCTCTCTGACCATGGAAACTTCACTGACGACAATCATTTTTGGACAGAAGAGTGCTGTGTTTTGGAACAGCTCTTGCAAGCTAAAGCCGTGATGCCATTCTTTGCTAATCTAGACGTGTGCGGATGTCATTGGATCATATAGAAATAAATGTGAGCTACTGCTCTTAGCTAAGAAAGGTCATGGCCTGCTGATGTAAATTTGTTAGTGACCGAGACGTGACCTGCATGGGGGAACCCAATGGTTGCTCAGTTTTACAGGAACAGCAAACTACCCTAATTAATATATTGTTAATTATATAATCAGAATCAGCGCTAAGTGTGTACACATACAATAAATATGAATTATCTAAATGTACATGTACAGAGATAGACATACAGCTAAAAACAGGTAACAGCGCTAAACAACAATCATTTGCTATAAAACAATGTGAGACATCTCAGAAATGTGAGAGTAGCTGTGCTCTCCATGTTTTAGTCTTTTACAATAACTCATATAGTCAACTCCTACAACAGTGTTCCCACACAAGCACAGTGAGAAATCATTCTTTAGACCAAATTGCTTACATTATGACGACAGGATTTTGTCAGAGGTGCTAAGACGCTGACAGCAGAGTTACAACAGAACAGGTTAGAGGTTGATGATGATGGTGCAGTGATGATATAGTAGTGAAGGTGGTGCTATGACTGGGTGCTAACTGAAGCAAGGTCCGCTGAAGGCTGTTTAATAAGTATAAACCAAATGTCTCTTTATTTTTCAATTCTCATTATTTATTGCCTCGTGATCAACACATGCTCACGCTTCCATGTAGGAATGTTTGGTTCTGAAATTACATAAAAATAACAAGTAAATACATGATGTATATAACTAGGTTGCAAATTAACCATGAACATCACATATCAGATGAAATAAACAGCATTAAATACACCTGTATCAATAACATTGACAAATAACAAAGACACAAATAAATATAACTAAATCTATGGTTTAAATACACTGATACTGCCATCTACTGGTAGAAATGGTAAACACTTTTACTCTGCGTCTCCTTTTACAGGCTATGCTCTGCCTTCACTCAAGGAACAGAATACCGTGGAAAAATAAATATCAGGGCTAACGGCAACAACTCTGCACACACAAATTGTCTTTGATTAAACTATATTACGAACTGTAATACTGGTTAATCGAAAAGTTGATTATTGCTGTATACATGGATAAATTAATATTAAACCACCTGTAGTCAACTACTGTTGCTAACATACTCCCATCGGACCAGATGTATTTATTTATATTCATTAGTTTATTGTTCTTCCAATATTACCCTGGTATGTGCTTGCATAATGGACTGTAAATAAGAAATGCTTGCATACGTTCATTCTATTACCCTGACTTTTATTTTGAAATATTCTTACTTCCGGGTCACCCGTCTTCAAAAGAAAAAACAAAAGAGCAATTGTTTTTTAGATTTAGACAACAAAAACGAGGAAACTGCTGTGCTTTTCCGTTTTTGGTTTAAAACGGAAAACGAACAAAACGTGGTATTTCTGTATTTTCGTTTTTTCGATTAAACAAACTTTTAAAACGTACACGGACTGACCTTAAATAAATAAAATGTCTATCCTCAAGCACTGTTCATAATAACAAAAACCTAAGGTGTCAGTGAGATGTTTCGTGTCTGTTTTTGATGTTGTTCTCAAGTCATCTCTGCAAATAGAAAGAATGTGGACTGATTGGATGATGTGTGCCGATCAACAAAATCCTAACATACTTTGCCACAACGCTGCATGATGCACATTCCGGCTTCTTAGTTTTGAGCGTTTTTTTAAGGGTGGATGCAAGTACATTTTATTAACTTGAGAACAAAATGTGGCATATATCACAGGTCCCTACTTGTATTGCTCAGATATACACGTAATTAAAGACAATTCATGCCTACTGGCCTGCAGAATACTAGTGGGGCCTTTGTTTTCAAAATCAACCAAAAAAAGTTTATACATGGACACGAGTGAGCATCGAGATTGACATCCGCCATGTCTTTTTCTTTTCTTCTTCTATTTTTTTTTGTTGTAGAACCAGAACCAGAACCTCCCACCAAAACCAGGAAGTAGCCGACTCTTTCTCTGCTGCTCCTGTTATCAACGTCTCTAAAACGCCAAACAGGTGTCTTCATAATATCCGACGATGTCTTCAACCGCCTGCCAAGAACCCGTTGAACACTCCGGACTGCTCCGGTTTTACTCCGCCGTGTTTTACGCCGGCAGTTCGTTTGTCATCACGGTGGTGAATAAAACGGTGCTCACGAGCTTCAGGTAACGTTACGCGACGCGTTAGTCGCGCTGTCATCAAGTCAGTTATCAGAGGCGGAAGACGTGCACCGTACGCTGCGTTATCAGGGTAGCATTAGCACGGTGTGTGGGGGTATTAAAGTAAAAGTCATGCATTTAAATGTTTTGCTAACTATTGGCATCACAACATATTATTCTTAAAGTAAATGTAAATGTTGGCCCGCTCATTGTGCAGAATAATGTTATTACTGGATTATATTCATGCATTAGGCTAATGCGTACATCACTTTAATGGTGAAGGTGGAGCAAATTGAACTACTGTCAATACATTATTTTAATCTGTATTTTGAATATGAATATGCAAAGTAACTAGTAAGGCTTCAGATAAATGTAGTGGCGTAAAGAGAAAATGGAAGTATTTAAGTTGAGTACCTCACAAGTGTACTTAAGCACAGTATTTGCAAAGTAAACGCCCTCACACACAGAGGAAGCTTATAATAATAATAAATCATTATTGAATCACACTAAGCCTTTAACTGTGTATGTGTTGGTTTTGCAGGTTTCCCTCCTACATGTGTTTGGGAATTGGACAGGTAAGTTGTCCAGTTGTGGATGTTTCTGTGTGTGTGTGTGTGTGTGTGTGTGTGTGTGTGTGTGTCAGTCATGCACGCACACACATGTTTCACAGTCACTTTGGTGCTTTCAGATGATCGCCACTCTTGTTGTCCTTTATGCTGCCAAAATGAGCAAAACAGTCCAGTTTCAAGATTTCGACAGAAGTATTCCCTTAAAAGTAAGGATTTCTTATTTCTTAGGAAAAAAATCTAAATATATTCATCTTTATTTACTTGCTAAAATATTGTTCCCCTTGTGTTTCCTTGCCAGATTTTCCCCCTTCCTTTGCTGTATGTTGGGAACCATATAACAGGACTGGCCAGCACCAAAAAACTCAGGTTGATCCAGTTTGATTGTTGTCTAAACAAAGCAGGTTTAGTCCTTAAGGCTGTCTGTGCTCATTCATGTGGTTTATTTTTTTACAGTTTACCCATGTTTACAGTATTACGGAAATTCACCATATTGATGACGATGGTCTTGGAAGTATATATACTAAGGTGAGGCATATCTCTGATTTATATATTGCTGTTAGAGCCTTGAAACAAATAACCTCATCAGAATTGTGACACAACTGGTCTGAAAGTACTGCGCGCAAGTCTTACAAGTCTAACGTCAGTTTATCAGCCCAATTAAACAAGGTGGGAGCTTTGGGAGTTTTGATCTGAATGTGTCGGTGTTCCCTTTTTTTTCCAGAAAAACATTCCCAAAGAGCCTTGTGTACAGTGTTGTGGCTATAGTCCTTGGTGCCATGGTTGCTGCGAGGTATGGATATTTTTTTGTTTTTGTCTTGGATTTGTTTATGTATCACGTAAGAACTGAACACCTTTGCTGTCCCTCGCCCCTTCCTCTCCTCTAGTTCAGACCTGGCCTTTGATGTGGAGGCTTACTCTTTCATCCTGCTCAACGATGCCTTCACTGCTGCCATCGGCGTGTACACCAAGAAGAAACTTGGCACTGAGGTAACATTCCCTGCACAGTCTGTGCAAACAGACAAAATCTGTACTGCATTCTACTTGTAGATTCACCACAGTCTGTGTAGGTGCGGTTAACTGCTTTATCTGGTATTGAATTGTGATAAAGTGTAAAGCTGTAGAAGATCATAGTTGATCATGCATAGTTGTCTTACCAAAGAAATAAAGGAAGTTAAACTTGTTTTTTTCCAGGAAACAATGGGTTTGGACCGTTTATATGTCCTTCGATTTGTAACTCCTGCATCGTAAGGTGTGAGCGACGGTGACGGTTTTGGTTTGGTCAGCCACCCTTTCAGTAAACAGGATTTTGACCACACGGGATTACATCATCTCCACAGCAGCATAAACACACAAAACACCAGCAACCTTTTTGAGCATTGTGATTTTAGATGCTGACAGCCGTCGGCTTATAGAAGTAAATTGTGAAGAATTGTTAATATTTCAACATTCAACATGCAGTAGAAGTAACTGTCTTTAGGTTTGCCGTTTGTTTACACACATGGTTGTTTTTTTGTTTGTTCAGGGCCTTGGGAAGTATGGTGTCTTATTTTACAATGCACTAATCATTGTCATCCCCACTCTCTTGGCAAGTGCGGTTACTGGAGATTTACACAAGGTACAGACGGTAACTGTGATCCAGTGGGTTATTTCTGGGTGGTTGTGCCACAAACTGTCTGCTTTTTCCTACTTGACACAAGTTTCGTGTTTTTGATTCACAGGCAATCACATTTGAGGACTGGGTTGAAGCAACTTTTATTTTTTGTTTCCTCACGTCATGCTTCATGGGGTATGTCACAACTTTGTTGCAACTGAGATACATTTTTTTTAAAGAATTCCATATCTCTTACATTACCACCTCACCCTAGTCAGTTTTACAAGAGTCAGCTTTGTGTTGTTTTTCAGGTTCGTGCTGATGTATTCCATAGTCCTGTGCAGCTATTATAACTCGGCACTCACTACAACAGTAGTGGGGGCAATAAAGGTAAGAACACGCCGACGACGATACTATTTAGAGACTGGAAAGCACAGGCTCTGCATATCTCCGTCAAGATTGCCTAACCCTCCAAATTCATTACTTTACTAATAGACAATGCTTAAAGTTCTAACCTGTATGTGGATCTGGATTTTACATCACACTGCACACTGTAAATCAATTAACAGATACAGAACCTAAGACAACCTCCTTGTTGGGGGTAACTTGTGTGTTTTCTCTGTGTCCAATTTCTGCTAACAAGATCATCACCAACCTGCATAATCCTTTTTTTATTTTATTTTTTTTAAGAACATGGCAGTAGCTTATATCGGCATCTTTGTGGGCGGAGACTACCTGTTCTCTTGGACCAACTTCCTCGGCCTCAGCATTTGGTAAGAGTTTATATTTTCCATTCCAGTTTTATTTTTATTCTGTTCTTTTTTATGACATGTTTTGTTAAATGTCGTTACAAACTGTACTTGGCTGCAACTGGAAATTTACATTTCTTGCTATGTTTGATTTCCTAGTCTTTTAAGAGCAGCTTTGTGAAATGTATTTCCATACTCCAAGCCCGTGCAAAGCATCTATGAACGACAGTAAAGTTTATGGTCACATTGTTTTCCAGGGCCTCACGATTCATTTCTTTCATCGTTTGCGTTGCAGCATGTCGGGTGGACTAATGTACTCGTATCTCATCTTTAACCACAAATCATCCAGGAGTAACGCAGAAGGAGCACAAGAGCTGAAGATTCAACAGGGAAGTGCACCGCAAACTAAATAAAGACACTATTTCAGCTCTTACCACTGGGTGGCATTGCTCTGCTCCATATTGGAGCACAATTATTGTTTTTACACTTTTCATTCTTATGGTAAAGGGACTGTACTTATACGCCGCTTTTCTAGTCTTCCCACCACTCAAAGTGCTTTAACACTACATGTCATCATTCATATGATGGCAAGCGCTACCATGCAAGGTGCCACCTGCTCATCAGGACCATCGAACACTCAGAACCTTAAAGGGAGCAATTTGGGTTTAGTGTCTTGCCCAAGGACACATCGACACGGACTTGCGGAGCCGGGGATCGAACTGCCGATCCTCTGATCAGGACGACCCCATCAATGAACTGATTGTTTTTAAAGGCTTTGATGCAATACTGCTTTAATTTCACTTCTAAATCATGACTGAATAAATTGACAAAGACGTTGAATTTCTGGGTCAGGTTCAGTGAATGTTTATTGAAAACCAACAATTGTATAACAGTGTGGACAGCCTGTCAGAGAAATCTTACCTTTTTCTTTAAAAAATGTGTAATTAAATGTCTACCAAGCAAGCAGGATCACTCTACACATGTCAAACATGAAAACTGTTGGGGGGGGGTGTTAGCGGAGAGGAAAACTGAAAACTAAAATTCAACTTCAAAGCTCTCCCGTAAATCGTGCACACTCGACATTCTAACAAACACAATGTGTGTGTATATATATATATATTAAATGCCATAATCTTCTCAAACCACAAAATAGACTACGGGTTAGAAATGCTTCAAAATATACTATACTTGGGTAAAAATAAATCATTTGGTGTTTTCATTATCAACATTTCGCTGGCCTTCCAGTTTCACCACAACTCCACACTTTGTAAATCAAACATCACAGCTAGAGTGACAGGGCAGTTATGAGAGGCTTCATACAGTGTTGAAGGATGTAGTGTTGTTTAAAAAAATGTAAAAAACAAATGAAGGAAAATCACCCAGCACTACAAAACACCTGTGCTGTTTCCTTGGACACGTACAACAAATCTATTCTTCAGTGCATTGCAAGCTTAATCCAAGACTTAATAAGGGGTGTAAGTGCTGAATATCAATAAACGGGTAGTCTACGTTCATGTGATATATTCTATGGTTTTAAAACTTTGCTGATTTTTTATTTTTTTTTCCCGCTGGTGCCAGAAAAAAAGATTCCAGGGCTGTCAAAGAGCAACAAAATGTGAGCCAGGAAGAAAAGAAGAAAGTACGGTGAAATAAATATCATAATTTACGCTTCTGAAATGAGATGACAGCTGCATCACACACTACTGTGATGCTGTGCCCGTATCGTAACTGGTCTCGCACCTTTTAATATAAAAGGTGATTGACATCCATTGTGAAAATAAATCTCCCGTCTGGTTGGAAAACAATTTAAAGGTCTGCATGTTTTTAACCCACGATTCTTGTATCTATGTGGGAAACGGCTGTTCAAATGGAAATATGGCAAGTCTTTTAAAAGGGGACTCTGGACCTTTTTAATATTGTAGATCTGTAAGTATCGTATATCACGATAAAGTGGTGGAGCTTCCAGAAAGCTTCCAGACGAGAGCTCTGGATTAGGCTTGCAATGATCACCTCTCATTCGCACATTAAAAAAAACGACCATGTCAGCTTGCTGGACTCTTGTCTCCTCTTAGTCTGCCTACGCGCGCGTCTTTTTTTCCGCGCCGCACAGGTGAGGCCTTAAACTTATCTGTCCATTTTGTCCACCATCGCCATCGTGGCAGTGAAATTGTGCTTTACAACGCTTGGAGATGAAACCTGGGAGCATGAGAGGCCATCTTGACAGTTGGAATGCGACTTAACACTTCCTATGTTTGACCACACCCTGTATCGTTCTCTCCGGCCGAGCTTAATCCATATATACATCAGTCACACACACTCCGTTACACTCTCAATACACTCAAAAAGAACTCGTTACCCTTCAAAGTGCAAACACAACAAATTAAAACATAATTGGTACTCTTTTTGTGCCTTCAGAAGACAGGAGAAAAAGAGACATTCTTCATATAGTCAAATCTACAATTATAGCAGCCTAAAAGAAGGATAAAATGGAAGCTGAATAAGGTGCTTTAGCTTGTGCCTTCCTGGTGCTGGGAGGGGGGGTTGTGCATAACACGGATCTCAGGCCAATTCGGCTCGCTCTCAAAAGTCTGATTTCACAACTTGATGGAATAAACTAAACTAGCTATAGTTCTGCGTTGATGAACACTTTCTAGCTACAGCACATACTGCAGGAAGGCGAGGTTGGGGATGGAGATATGAGGGACGGGGAATGGGGGGGGGGGGGCTCCCGGACCAGGAAGTGGGGGTGGGTGGGCTGGGTGTTCAGGGAGACAGGTTGTTGGCCAGCTCAATGAGTGCCAGAGCACCGTGGAGACGCTCCCGTTGCTCCTGGAGGCGGCGCTTCGCGGCTCCTCCCTGGCCGCCCTTCTCCTCCTCGGCCTTCTCCTCGTCGTCGCCGTTCTCCTCGTCGGACTGGAGGAACTCCATGGGATCCTGCTGCTCCTGGTCCTCGGATCGCGCCTTGCCCTGTGGCTTCCCCTTGGTGGTTAGGGGGGCACGCTGCTCACGAGTTTGCCAGTACCTGCGAGGACCGAGAAGAGTGGGTAAGCATAAAATGCCATCGACTGCACGTTATGAGTTCTACTATTCCTGCTTTATAGAACAGATCGTCTCCGCTCAGGTCACCGGTCCTGTTGGGTTCACTTACTTTGCCAGCCACTCTGCCACAGCCTTGTTATCCACAGACTGAGCCTTCCCCTGGCCCTCCTTTGGTTCCTCTCTCTTCAGGCGGGAGAACGGATGCTTGGGACAGTGACGGTTGGCGTGTGTGAACCGATTGCCACATCCTGAGAGAGAGAGAGCAGCAGGTATGAATAAATGCAGTAAGGCAATGTTATTCTGTGACTTTAGAACAGCCAAGATACAGCTGTTATAAAAACGGTATCATATTTTCTATTTATAAAAATATGATACGGTGATGTTCAGCTCGTACATTTGTTTTACAGTTTATCGGGTACTTTCCAAATTAAACTCGGCCAGTTAAACGCTCCAGTCGATCACACTAACTGAGCCACGTTTCATGCCGCTGGAAAACACCTAAAAGTATCTAAAAGTGAAAGGTCACGAAACGTTGACTCTGCTGTTTGGTAGAATAACATTACTTCACTAACACTACTTTCAGCTCAATACCTTTCTCCGAGCAGACGAAGGGTTTCTCCCCAGTGTGCAGTCGCTGGTGCGTCTTCAGCTGACCACTCTGGACAAACGCCTTCCCACAATTCGGGTAGTCACACAGGTAGGGCCTCTCTCCTGCAGAGGGATAGGGATATTGTTCAGTATTGTCATAGTTTTAAAGTTCATCATTACACAGTACCCCTAATATGACACACACACATACAGTGCACCATTTTTTTCAAATAGGCACTGGGAGGTCAATTGTTGTCCTCTTTCACAGACCAAGCATAGCTGTGCCCCTTCATGTTCCAGCATGTTCGTGTCACATCTGGTTAGACGGGTGTTCTCGTGACCATCCCTGGGACAGAATATAGAATCACAGTGCGTCCACCTGGTCTCAAGGTAATGCCTCACCTGTGTGTGTCCTCTTGTGAGCCTGAAGCGACTTCTCTCTGGGAAACACCCGGTTGCAGATGTTGCAGCGAATGTGGCTGGACGAAGTCTCCCCCTCGTTTATGAGCTCCCGGACAGTGTCGGCCCGCGGACGCCCTCTGCGGATGCCATCCTGACAGAAAGAATGCACCCAATTCTTACATGGTCCTTTTTAGAACAGCAACCATGAGCAGATGCTGAGCATAGAGGATACACATATTTTTGTACTTCTATGATTTACTAAATTTACAAGAGCGTACTGTAATCTGACACATCGTGGTCATAATGCTTACTACACATGTACATCTGTATTTGTTATACTAAATAAATATTCAGTAACGTTATACATTAGTTTAACCAGCGTTTTGTATTTCATACAGTGCACACATCTTGTCATCATTCATAATTTCCTTAGCTGAGCTCACGTGTTCCTCTCTGTAGCAGGACGCACGTTTTGTCCATTATCATTCATTCACATCCGGTTACACTTTTGGCGCGCGACTAGACGTCATGTATGAGCAGCTGCTCCAGAACCAGGAAGTAACTGGGGTTTAAAATCCACCGTGTCACACCCTATTGCGCGGGCGATTTTTTAAATGACTCTCCACTCCGGCCGTATAATGTCCCCGTTTTAAGTAGACATTAACAGTTATTTACACCTGAACTGTATTCATCTTCTATAACGACTGTTCGGAATGGTTTGTGTTTGTTAAACATGTCATTAGCACCCTGCACGCGCTCTTTTCTTGCTGTTATTATAAGTAGTCATATTTGTTAGGCCTGTAACTTAAAGTTGCAGTGTCGTTAACAACCTCAAACTACACAAGAACAACAGCCCAAGTCGGTCTGTGTCACACTAACACGTTTTACAGTCTGAACATACCCTGATCTGGTCAGGTGTAGGGTCCGTGTCCGCTTCCCTGGCCGTCTGGGTCCCGGTCGGTGACGAAGCCCCGCTAAACGAGCCCGGGCTCAGAGTCACATTGTGGGCGTTCTCCCCCCATTTCCACGGGTAGACCATGAAGTCGCTGAAACCGGGACTCGTCGGCGTCAGGGCCTCCGCTTTCCTCGGTTTGATCGGCGTGGTCTTAATAACGGACACCAAAACTCTTTTTGGAGAGTCGCTGCAGAAAACAACGTGCGGCTGCTTGTTTTCGGCCATCGTACGGATGTCAAAACTCCAGCAAAGGCAAGCAAAAACTGTAAAAGTATTAAATCTAGTTGATTATTGAAAAAAACTGAATGAGTAAAAGTCATAAATAGATATCCTTTTCAGTCTGGAGTGAATACGTCCTTCATTTCCGAAAAGGCTCGGATCGTTGTTCACTACAAAGTATCCGCGAGAGAGACAGTTTGATATGAAGATGATGGTAAGTTCCCTTCTTGTCGTCTGAACTGACCTGTGTGCGCTCACAGGAGCGTTGTCCCGCGTTGCAAAATCGCGCCTGAGCAGTTGACTGACCAATCGGTGGCAGGGATTTGATCCCACGTGTCACAAGTAACCAATGGCAGCAGCCACACGGATCCACCTCGCAGACTCGCGGGCCAATATGCAGGACAGAGAGCGGTGTAAGTACGATGATTGGTCGAGACGTTCTAATCCAATGAGGTTCAAACACTTGACCCGCGCTCTCGCACGCTGACATCAAGATTGGCCAATGAAGACGAGCAGAGCGCGCGGTGGCCCGCGCCGGAGCCAATGAGAGCGAAGGGCGGTTAATTTTACATTGGAGAGGAGCAGATGGCTCTTTCCCGCGCTGAGGAGTCTGTTTATGTTATTACGTTTTTTTTCAATTTAAAGGGAAAGGAAACGGTGGCCTAGAGGCGCCAAAGTTACGTAATAATTTTAGGGCGGACATACTTGAACAAAGGGTGTACTGTGTGTGAGGAAGAGAAATAGAAACCAACAGTTATTTTAAAATGTGTTAGTGTTTTAATTGTAGGAGAACATTTGAATTTAACCCTAACTTTTCTCTCTTCCATGATGTATCAAAATGTTTTTCACAAGTCTATCTGCCCACAAAATGTGCTTATCAAAAGTAAATTCAAGACTTGAATTAATGATGCAAAAAATTATTCACCTTTTAGTTCACTGGCATTGTTGGAGATATTACATCCAAATGAGTTTCATTTTAATGTAGAGTTAACAAGTCAGAAAACGTGCCCATATACAGGCTTTAGCTGAAATGAAGTCATAGTGTCCTATGAGCTGCAAAAGAAGCCTTTCTGTTTGGTTTCATGTGCCTGTCCCATTGCTGTGAGCCTGTTTGTGTCCCTTACTTGTTATCTTAAAAAGGCAATCCAAATATATCCTACTGCACTGTACAATGTGTCTTTAAACGTAAAAATCTGGGCAGAAGTTTGGTTTACAACATTCAAAAAACGTAAAATTAAACTAACATTATCAAACAGTTTTGACGTGAAACTAAATTTGTCAATGTATTGAGGTGCAGATATATGCTATCTACTGTCTGGTGTGAACTTTCTTGTAACACCCTGGTAATACTCATAGACTATAGTAAGTGTGGTTGCGCCAGTTTGCCCTCAGTCCAGAGAACAAAGTAGTAGAGCTCCACCAAGGACTTGTTATTAATACATCCATGGTGTGCTTTTTGATAGTTTGTTAAATGGATCCAATCTGGCAGAAACTACAAAAAAACGACTCACACCCTTTACTCGTCCTTTCCGCTGCCAGAAGGCTGCGTCGCCGGGCGTAGAGCCTGTGGCAGCTTCGGGAGACAGAGACAGTTAGCAGTTAGCTTGAATTCAGTCATAGCGAACCCCAAAACCGTGGGTTTGGGGCTGTAACCACCGGTGCTGGGGTTCGCAATGGCTGAATCTGAGTTGGGTGTCAGTCTCTCGGTGCTGCAGACCGCAGACGAAGGTGTGGGTCGTTTTCTTGTTTCTGCAACTTTGGATTTAGTCCAATAAACAAACTATCAAAGTGAACACGCCCGAACAGCCCCCAGTTAGTGGCACAAACACCTTAAACTACAGGCCACATGTGAAGATTATGAGAGTTATTTTGACTGTCTCACAGTTTCAGCAATTTGGTTGAATTTGGCATCCTTTTGACCTGGTGTTAGAAGTTGTTTGTCTTCTTATTAACTCATTTCTGTAGATTTATATTGTATGGTCTCTGTAGTAAGGGTGAAATGCTGCCCCCTATTTCTTTGGAGCAGGTGGCTCGTCATTGCACCTTTAAAACACAAGCACTTAGATTCTATTAAACCTCGCAAGTGTAATTGAAACTGCCTAAGGCCATACTCTACACTCTGTCTAGTTTTATATTATGAATTTGAATAGAGTAGGCCAACCCCCTTGTGTATGGTTGAGACTGTAGTTGTCCCCGGTTGACATCACAGATTTGTACTTTCTATTATGACCACTAGAGGAAGTTTCATTATGTCAAATATGACTCATCCTATGACAGTTACTCAGCTTCTCGTGTTTGAGGTGTTGATCTAATTTTATTGCCACACTACATGAATGAGTATGCATACATTCATAGGGTTATTTTATAAATATCAGTTGAATGGTCATCTATCTAATGATACATGAAGGGGAATTAGGTTCTGCATGCCTGAGCAAAGAACAGTATTTAAAGTTCATGAATAGTTTGGGAATTTTCACAGATCTACACAGTTTAGTGCACGTTGTACTTTACTGTACTCGACTTTAATGGAACTCCCTTCTGAACGAGCCCTGACATGGAAAAGTACCAAACACAGCTGAGTTCAATACTCAATCAAACCACTACGTCAATTAAATCAGACCCACCTTACAATGTTGGTTATTTCGTGTGGAAGGTTTAGTAATGTAATGTCATACTGGAAAAACAAAAGAGTAAATAGTCCGTTTTAGGTTTTTATTCGGTTGCATTTAATGGAAAAAACGTAATTTGACCTGAGCGAGTTACCTGGTACACACAGGTTCACCTGAAGTGTGGTCAGGTTTAACTTCCAGGTATCAGATACCACTCTACCACCGCGAGCTACTCGAGACCGGAACAGCTGCTGTCACAGACAGGTAGCATAAAAATGCAGGTCAGGGAAAAGACTAACTCAGGAAATGTTAAACAATAGCTCAGTGAATTGATGCACAGTCGGCAAAATAAGCTATGAGACTGAATTTATCGGAACACCGATAACGACACGTTTATCTTTGAGATAGCCAAGTTCTACAAAACCGGGCTAACGCAAGATACCAGGCATGGCTAACGTTAAGCTAGCGTTAGCTTCATCAATCAGCGTAGTTAGCATAGTCATAAAAGTAGCTAGCGCACAAAACTACTAGCTAATATACCTAGCGTGAAATTATATCAATTTAGCTTAAACTATCAAATGTAAACTCAAAGTTATGGTTAATTAATTAGAGTTATCAACTTCTTTGTCATAGTAAAATACTAGCTAACGCTAGATGGGGTTAGCTAGTAGATTAAGGTTTTAATTGTCAAACCGTTAGCGTTATATTTGAATATTCAGAGGTAGCTAACGTCACCGTTTACCTCCGCTGAGACATGTGCGTGATGTTCTCATATTTTACGAACGTCGTGTTTCGGGAGTAAGTTACTCTCTTATTTTTAGAGAAAGGTTAAGCAACGAGATCTTCTCAAGCTAGAAAGTGGCTGGTGTTATTAATGTAGCTAACGTTAGATACGTTTATAACTTCAAATTGTTTCTTTATCAATCAAAAGTTATTTGTATTTATCGTTGATGAATAAAATCCCCTGAGACTTCAGTTCCTGTGCCAATTCGGGCGGCAGGACCTGGCTAAACAGAACAATCCACCATTGTTGAACGAGGATTTGAGCCATGTAAATACAATGAATATTGATTAGTGAACAGCCAATTGATGAGCGCGTGGTGTCGCGTGTCTCCACACGTGTAAACATTTCAAATTGTCGACAAAACTGCAGTGGGTGTTTGTTTGGATGTTCACCGAGACAGAAAGCTACCATCCCCAGCTCTGTTCCGGTGTAGCTGGGCACGAAAACGGTCGTTTCTCGAGTCTTGTCTTTGCTGTGTTAACTGTTATTTGTGAGATATGCATTTGAAGGAGGTTTTCGGCCTTTGATCTGTGTCCTTTCTCCTCATCAAACACAGGCTAACATGCTCCCGGAGGCTTACGGGTGCGTTGTGGCAAACAGGTATGGGGATCTCCTGGATGACGAGGCCGACCCTTTCGACTTGATCAGCAAAGTGGAACAGGAGAAGAAGGAGAAGAAGAAGAAAAAGAAGCAAGAAGGCAAAGAGAAGAAAGCTGGTCAGAAGGAATCTCAGAAGGACAGACGCCTTCCCTTTGCGTCGGAAGTTCAAGACCGGGCTCCAGGTCAGCTAACCTGCTTGGTGACACGATTGTTAACGCACAACATCCAAACCATTCTGCTAGTATTTCTGGATTGGATAGCCCAGGCTTTGTCAGCTGCTCCTGATGCAAAGTCAGCTAGGCTACTGAGCTCATGTGTATGCTGTCACGGTTTCCACCCGTTATCTGACTTTATCCAAATTTTATAGCACATTAAAATATGCATTATTTTATTCCTGACATGAGAACCAGCCATCTAATGATCCAGTAAAAAGTATGTTTTAATAAAGTTTAGTGAAGTGCAGTTTTTTTTTTTTGCATCATTGGTTTAACGTTTACATTCTTTCCTTTGTGTTTGATGAAGGTTACTTGCATTGTGAAGCTGTTTTCAGTTTGTGTATCGTCTCCGTCCCTATCAAATAAATTGGGATCGGGAAATGTTTTTATAATCGGGGATAACAACTACCTGATACCTGGAAGATTTAAATCAATGTTTTTAATGCTATTATGAACTATAATTTGTTGCGATTTATAGATTATTGGTTGAAACGAGGGTACTGATGCTTGATTTTTATTTTTTTTTCTGACCACGTATTTGATTATTTCATATAGTCATGTCATTAGCAAAGATGTGCAGTGAGACAACACAACTGAATATCTCAATACCTCACTCTGTTTCCTTAGTCCGTCAGCAGCATCAGGCACTTCCTGGACCAGTGGCTGCGAGGGGAGATGTTAGAGAGGAGGCTCATGGGGTTATAAAGAGAGCTACCTTTGGGGAGCGTTGGGCCAACAAAGAGGACTATCCACAGGAGTTTTCCATCTCCAGGTATGTGTTCTCATACTGAGGCTACAACTCTCCATATTGGTTTCTCTGATCTGATAAAAATGTGTCCATATTATGTCCCCAGTAAAATGTTATGTTTTACTCTAATCAACTACAAATGTAGAGTTTCATACAGTTAGACACAATTTGAATATGCATTTTCCCAAACTAAGTAATTATTTAAAATCAAGGCTGCAACTTTTGTAAGAGGAAGTGACACATTCTTCCACTTAAACAAAATGAGAAGTTCATGAGTACTAAAATGCACCATTTCTATATTCAAAGCAGTAAGGGGTTTTGCTGCTACAGTCTTGCCTGGTCTGGTTTGACCAGTAACTTGTGATCGGTACTGTTGGCTGACATTTTAGAATTCACCATTGTCCTGTAATTGTCACTGATTAAGTAATACCACATACTTTTTCTCTAATTTTTTTCAAAATGAGAGGAAAAACCCAGTGACAAAGTCCAGAATAATACTTTGAAAAGTAGAAGCTGTCGCAGGAATGAAGTGAGTTTTATTTTGATTGGTCCCCAGGCCTTCCTATAATGCAAACTCTGACTTCAGAGGCAGAGGGGGGAGAGAATACTCAAGGAACTCTGACAACTTCGACCTGAGGGGCGAGAGAGAATATGATCGACAAAGTGGAACGTAAGCCTTTTTGTTCATGTAGCGGTCCACTTAAAAAGTCTTTATTTCTCTCATAATAGTTTATTCACAATTTTTGTGCAAACATGCATTGCAGAGGTATCTCTCCTGAGGAAAAGAGGGGAGGCCGAGGACCCTGGAACTGGGGCAGTGTTGAAGATCATGCAAAGTAAGTACAGTTTCACCAACCACATGTAAAATGACAACGTTCAGTCCTAGGCACAGTATAGATGTTTTTTTGTGTCCCTTAGAAGTGAGTCAATGGAGGTGATCTCCGCTGCTACCGTCAAATCTGAGAAGCCCCAAACACGTGCGGAGGAAGAGAATCAGAATCGGTGAGGGAAGCATACATAAGCATCTCTTTAAAATGACATCAATGCCACGTCACCTGGTTCAGTCGGAGTTTAATCAGTCAACAGGGACTGTTGGATCAGCCCCGTTATTCGATTAGGCGACTAATCGAGTGTTTTGTCTTTAGGAGACGTATGGCTGCCATATTTTTGTGGTTACATTGTTGGTTATAAGTTTGCAACAATGTCAATATTTTTATTTTGCCCTTTTTTGCAAGGATGGATTAAATGCATTGAGGTTGTGTCACACTAGATGAAAATAAAGTGGACTGACGGTCGTGGTCTATCCCCAGTTATGATAGGGCAATGGAAGAAGAGGATGGGGAAGTGCTGGTCCAGGTTGCCATGGAGATGACCCTAGACGAGTGGAAGGCCGTGCAGGAGACGAGTCGTCCCAAGGCCGACTTTAACATCCGAAAATCTGGGAACAAGATTCCCTCCAAAGCCAAGGTCATCCACCAATCAAAGCACACAGAGGTGAGGATGTGAAGCCCTTTATTGCATCTGTTCAGAAGAAAACACCGCCCTGATGAAAGTGGAGCCATGTTTAGAGCCTACTTGTAGAATACTTGAGCAGTATCGTAAAGCCTCATCTTGCAGTGACTGTAACATACAGACCTTCAGTGTAAACCAGGCAAAGGATGGCGGTCCTGAGGTTTTCTACTGTGATGGGCCTTTAACGATCTAAAGACCGTACTGATAACATAGCAAAACACAATGGCATCTAAATGGTGTGTTCACCTGAAATAAGTGTTACACACGGGCCACACTGCCTGCGTCGTGGAAACTCTTGCTTTTTATTCCGTTGCCCGTGTTAACAGGTTAGAGCAGCCACATGGTTTGTATGTCTCGTGTTCACACTTCTCAACTGGCGGGCTGGCTGGCTGGAGGCAACCCATCTGACCTGTCATTAAACAGGGATCCTGTCTCGTTCTTTTTTGCTGCATCATCAAATCATCATGGTGTGGTGATAGTCAAATGTAACTAGTCATTGAAAGAACGCATTGTTTTTGTTAATATAAATTCTTGAGTATGTTTAGATATACAAATTACTCCAAGTCTTAGCATTTTGCAGTACCTCCCCACCACGCTAGATGGTGCTGTGTCCAGTGTTTGAGAAGCGCTTCCCTGTCTGAGGTCCACCCACTTCACTAAATCTTGTGGAACTGAACTGGGGAAGTTATCTTTTGACAGTATGTTGACATCACACCAGCAACATTACTACAGTTCCACTGTTTATCTGTAGAATATGTCAGACATCCAGGAAGGTGATATTCATTTAACTCAGAAAGCTCTCGAGGGTCTTTCTGTGGACAATCTCTTCATTTGTTAACAGGACGGTATTCATTTATGGAGCCGTGTAAGTCATAATGAAACATTCTGGCCATTATGAAAGGCAACCTTTATGTTGGAAGAACAGCCAGTCTGTGTGGACTCTACATGCGTGACCGATGCAGTTCAGCCATCGCCTGCAGTGTGAACTGGCCGTTGGACTATATTTAGTATCTACCTCCAATCTTTAGAATGTGAAGGAGGGGACCGTGGAAGATGGACACTTCCTCCGCAGCTCTGTGAATGACATCACCTCCCTTCTGGAGATCAACTTCGGGAGCCTTGGACGTCCCAGTCGTGGGGGTCGGGGAAGGGGAGCAAGAGGTGGCCCGACTAACCGCCAAGAGAGAGCCAGACCCATACTGGAGAGGGTATGTTCTCGACTACTGGCTCACCGATGGTCTTTTTATTAATGATGTATTATAATAACCGACCAGACACTGAATTATTTAGTGGGGGTCTTGGTAACTCCACCATACCAGTTATTATAGATGGATGTTCACTTTGACATCTGTATTTCAGTGTTGTCTTTTTTACTGAAGGGATTGCGTTTGTTTGGGACATTCAATTTGCTCATAAGACAACCAACTACAATCAAGCAGAATATTAGAAGCAGGTTGATTTTTGTATGACATGTTTTTAATATCTGTTCTCCCATCAGGAGGAGGATCTGGCTCCAAACCCAGATGACCCAGAAGACTTCCCAGCACTATCAGCAGGAAGATAACTGAATTCACTTCTCGTTGACCTCCTGTGGGGAAATAGGTTGCACTTGACTTTTGGGTTTTATGTACTTATTTTGTTCTGTTGCACTAAAGACACTGTTCTACATTTGACTCCTGGAGAATAAATGCTTTTGCAACTATATCGTTGAGCTTTTTATTGTGAGACTATTTGAACAGAATCAGAAGTTGGATATATGGACCTGTTGTCTTTTCAACTAGTAGGCAATGATGTAACTCTACTCAGACTTGACTTAGTATAAAAACGACTGGTATAGTTTAAAGAACTTCTTCACGTGGTCAGTAAAAAAAAAAAGTCAACTTGAAATTTGAATGCATTTATTGCATGGTACACGGACCAAGGGCCAGAGAAATACTTGGGAGTACATTTAAAAAGTCTGATTCTATGTGCTTAAAGCAAATGTCTTCAGTGGATTATGAACATGAGTTAAACAAAGCCCCATTAGGACCGTTGATGTATTTCATAGCATGATTCAAACATAGTACAAAATATTAAAAAAATACAAACTGAGTATATCAAATGTTGACATATTTACAGTCTTGTAATACAGTAGCTGAAGAGCTTCACAAGTGATGGCATGCCAGATAATGAGCAACATGAGCACAGTTCTGTATTCTGGGATGGACTTGATGTTTTCACTACATCCATGGAGGGCCATGTTCTCCTGCTTACCTCATCCACAATCTGTTTTAACTGAATATAAACTGTTTCATGAACCAGAATATCTGCAGCACAGTGCTCATTTTGGAAGATATGTAGGATTCACATGTTTGCTACTGCATGCTTCAATAAGTAGGAACAACCAGGCAACGATTAAAACTATCGGTATGTTTCATGATTTGTTAAAAAGTATAAAAACCAAAAGTGCCTTACGGGTAAAATAAACTTGTAATCACAATCTGTAAATGATTTATGTGTTACATCAAGTTGGTTAAAGTTTGTTCCAAACTTAAATGTGAACGAGTAGTACGGTTATATAGAAGATGGGTTCCATGTAAAGTTCCTCGGGATTTCCAGATCCGCAGACTCACCGAAGGAGAGGAGGTCTAGCTTTGGGTATGGAGTGACTATCAAGGAAGAAAAGAAAGTCAGCGTCTATTTATTTACATTTCATTCAATGTTTCTGCTCATGAACCAGACACTTTAAAAGAGTAAATGTAACAGAAAATGAAGAGGAGATAGATACCATAGCCTAGAAAATCGATTCGATTGCAAAGAGCTACGAGCTTTACGTCCTCTGGAGACGGTGCGTCTGTTGCGTTTAAGAAAAAGAAAAGGGGGGGAAAGAGAAATGAGAGACACGACGGATTAGAAACCAGTGCCATGATCTACAGAGACAGGAAACACAGTGAGCAGCAGAGTCCAGAGAAGCTATAGCCAGTCGGAGTGGGAAACCTGCTCTTAGAGAACATGAGAGGAAAGAAGCACCAGGGACACTGAGGCAGGGGGAGATGAATCTGGAAACCTTAGAGCGGTACATAAGCAGGGTCAGACTAAACGATATAGATATATATATAGAGATATAGATATATATATATATATATAGATATAGATATTTTTAAACGCAACAGACGCACCGTCTCCAGAGGACGTAAAGCTCGTAGC